ACCGCCGGTGGAAGACGACGGCGAGAGCTGTGAAGGAGGCGAGGACGAAGATTTGGAGGAGCAGGCTTGTCTTGATGAGGGCGTGGCCTGTTTCTAGCTCGCGCTGGGTGAGGGATTGGTTTGCGGAGTAGGACGCGCCCCACCCGTTCAGGGCTTCGACGATGCTGGAGAAGAAGGCGAAGGTTGTGAGGACGCGGCCTGGGTGGAGGGGGGAGGCGTAGGGGGCGTAGTAGAGGATGCGGCCTAGGATGTTGTAGTTTGCTAGTTCGAGGAGGGGTCTTGGGAGCAGGGGGGTGAGTTGAGGGTTCCTCTTTTCGTTCTTCTTTTTGCTCATTGTGGGATTTGTGGATTTGAGAAGAACGGTTGTTACTTACGGAGCTGCGTAGATGAGGCACACGCTCGCGATGAAGATGTTGAGGTCGTCGTAGTGCCACGCGCCGTAGGTGCGGACGGCGAAGCCGGCTGCGAAGAGGAGGCAGCAGAAGGAGAACAGGGCGGTGACTTTGAAGAACCTGTAGTGACTGGATCCCACAGCAGTTGTCAGTCAGGGAAAATGCCGCTCTTCCCTTCAGATTGGAGTTGGGTTCGTTTGCTTTTAGAATTGGACCGAGCACACGGTATTGGAATAGACTCACTAGCTCTGCCAAAAGTGCAGTGTACCAGAGGCGGCAAACGCTACGGCGAAGAAGATGGGTGCTGCTTTGTTTGGGGCGTAGAAGTAGTAGCTCCCGTCGACTTTTGGATTTCTTGTAAGTAACAGGGGGCCTGCCAGGGGCGGTTATTCATTCTTACCATACGTGCCGTCCTCCATGTTTGTTCTACTGTTCCCCAAGCCTGACCAGTTTCTAGGGGTTTCTCGTTTTTCAGTTGATAGAGAACCAGTTGTAAGTAAATTCCGAGGAGTTGAGACTTTACATAGCACTTAGAAACCGGGTTGTAGTGTTAGAGTCCCGGAGGATATAACCTGTTGAAGAGGATTTCCGTCCCACGTTCATTTATACATTTATCGACACCAGGCATCACACACACTTGTACAAACAGACCTTTTCGTCCGTCAGCAGGAAATATGCACTTCCACATTCGGTGATCTTCCAATTGCCCACTTCTTCGGTATCCTGAATACCTCGAAACCGTAACCCGACGAATACGCTCGCCAAGCCCCCCCAAGATCAGCCTCACGAGGCGTCGCCATCAACCAATCGCATCCATCCCTCAAATACGACGCGCGCAGAAAGATGACCCGACTGACAACACCTCGAACGCCCCACGAAAGAGCTAAGCTTCAACAATGTCGCAGTCTCGTTCTTGATTCCTCGACAACGGTGGGGGGCGTTTTTCAAATCGCCAAAGATTCGAGGTGCCTGAATCAGCCCAAGACACAGGCCAGCCTAAGAGCCAAGTGCATGCCCGGTAGGTAGGCCCTTGTCAGCTGTCATCCCGTCGTATATCTCGTGTGTTTGATCTTCATTGGGTTTCGTGGCCCTTCCCAGTCTTTTGGTACAGTCTGGTCGATAATCCGGAAGATGTACCCGATGCTGTCGGCTCGACGGTGACTGACCGGCTCGTTGGGGATTCTATGAGCAATGCGGCACGCAGCGCTCTGCAAAGATGACCCCACGAGACTGCCTAAGCCTCTCGAGTCCATTCTTCTCATAGGTTAACGTTCCGAGGATCAAGTGTGGCTGCTTACACTCATGAGCAATGCACGCAGGGCACTGTAACAAGCTCTTGAAATCGTGAAATGAATTCATCCCTGAATAGTACCTGGCAGGGCCAGCGTACTGGACTAAATGCCTCGTAATGCCAATCAAAAAGTGGCCAAAAATCCTTCAAGTGCCCTCCTATCCCTTTCCACCGTTCCCAAAAGTGTTTATACATCAGAGAAAGAACCATGACCCAACGTGGATGTGACGCCACATATTGTCGGGATATCTGCACGCGTGAAAACCTCTCCAGAATCCAAGGCCCGTTTCGTGTAGCTTGCTTCCTTTACTCTCTCCAAAAAGGAAAAAACGCCCAGAAAAAAGTTTCCATCCTAGATGCAGTTCCTGGCGATTAAAAACATACAGTGGTCATACATGAAATCATTACAGACTGATGCCTCCTGGGGCCCCATCAGTCAACCTCCCACCCGCGACCCGTTCCGTTCGCGTTGTCGGTGGCCTCGTCATTCTCGCCGTCGTCGGTGCCAATCACGCTATTCGCACGCGATGACTCGACTTGGCTGAGATAATAATCGTCGTTCTCGCCCCAGCTATCGTACTCGTCGTCAGAGTAGTCCCACTGCACGGGGATCGTCTCGCCGCCCTCGCCGAACCCGAACATCATACCGCGCCACTGCCCGGCGGCGATCTTAGCAGCCACCTGGAGCATCAGCGCAATGAGATGACTCGGCGGACCCAGAAGAACCTCGCAGGTCTTGGATACAATGGCCATGGGAAGTCTGCGGACGAGTTCCAGGCGGCTTCTCAGGGGGTGGTACCTGGCCTGGGTACTCGTGGGCGCAAAAAGGTTGGCCGCCGTCGGCAGAGGGGAGAGCGCTCTGCGGCCGACGGAGATGCTGCTGGTGGTTGATCTGTGTCGAATGTACGGGCGACGCACGACAGCTGTAGTTGCTGCTTCGTCCTCGGAAAGAGCAACCTTGTCAGGCTGCTCAACCACCTCAGACACCATGTCTGGCGCAGTAGCAGCGCTCTCCAACGAGCTGTCGTCGGTCAGAGACGAAGTCGCATCCCAAGTTCGCCGAGTCTCCGGTGTCACAGTCAGATCGGAAATGTCGCGGTAGTGCCAAGGCTTCTTAGGAATAAGAATATTGTCGTGAGGGTATGGGAACCTCGTTGGGGACACGTCTGAGGCAGGAGATCTTGGGACAGGCGTAATTGGCGACTGAGCGGGCGAGTGCCATGACTTTGAGCTGTGGAACGAATCTGTAGATCCAGTTGGTGAAGTTGCTTCATCCAGAATCGGAGTCGATCTCATGGCCGACTTTGACGGTGGCGAGGTAACAAGGGTCAATTGTGGGGGAACCAGAGCCCTGCCGGCTCTGAATCCGCGAAGCTTCTTTCTTCTGCTACCCACAACCCCACTGCCTTCGAGAACTGTCTCTTCGTCTGTCGCGGACTGTGATTCGCTGCTTGACCCATTCCCGCTGGTATTCCTCGTCTCTATCGCTGACTTCTCGCAAACAGCCTCGGGCTCAGCGACAGGTTTAGTGGCCGGCGTAGACTCGGGAACTGCAGCAGCCATCTTGATCTCGTAGTTCCGGATCACGTCATAAATGTTAGTGGGCGTCGGTGTGCTTGCCTCAGCCGACAGAGGTGTTTTGGGCAATGCCTCCACAGTGACGAGCTGTTCCTTGATGTCGTTTGGCAGCCTATGACCAGTCACTGGCCGCTCAACAGTCACCAGAGTCTCCCCCTGGATGTCTGTCTTGCTTTCCTTTGGCTGGGTCAATGAGTCGTCGACTTTGATGGAAACTTGGGGAACCTCAGGGCCCTGGGTGTCCTCTTCGCGATCGACCATCTCCGTCGAAGGTACTGTCACAGGTGCTTGTAGCGGTGCGGCATGCAATGCTGGTGAGACCGCAGCGGCAGTCACCTCTTCGCCAGCGTTGCTTTGTGCATCAATGCCGCCAATGTCACCATTCGTAACTTGAACTCCTGGTGACTTTGCTGATGGCTCCTCGGCGGGAACCGTCAGATCTTGTCGGCAAACCTCATCTTCGGGCTCCTCTTCCTCGGCGATTGAGTTCTCGAATGTGGCTTCTTCGTGACTCCCCTTTGGCTCCGTCTTTTCCATCTTGACCACGTCACACGTAGGACCTTCCTCATCGGTCACCTCTTGAGCCATATTGTTGCTAGCGATATTGCGGGTTACCTCCGCTCCGCGCTTCGGAATCTTCAATTCTGTCGCAACGGCTGGTCTCTCGGCCGTGGGAGTCAGCGCGGCATCCGTGGGCTCTGCCGCTTTCGATATTTCGGCACTCGGATCACGGGATCTTGAGCTTGAGTGAAAGTCATTGCTGATAGTGGAGAGCCGGCGTTGCTCGCTTCGGCCGCGGAGGGAAGATGTCGAAGCTCTCCTGCCAGTGTTTGGCGTCAAAGCTTTTGGCGTCGGTGATACCTCGACTTCGTGAGCTGGGGTCGAAAGGACGGGTAGGGCTCGTTTAACCGGGGGTGTCCATGGTCGCTTTTTCACGGGTGTCTTTGGTTTCTCGGGGAGGATGACCGTGAAGGACCGTTTGAAAGGGCATTCCGTCTTCTCGAATTGCAATATTTGATCCCAGACACCCTTCAGTGCCGCAGCCAGTTCCTGTTCATCGGCGTTGGTGACGGGAATCTCGATCCTCCAGTAATTGGGTCGGCGAATTTGTAGGACGAATTTGCTAGAGTCTTCGGCGAGGGCCCAGCATTGGCTTTTGGGTAACATTGGCTGCAGAGCAGAGCCGCAGTTCAAGAAGGCGACGGATCCTGTACGGTATATTCGGAACGGCCCTATTGGGATGGCCCCCAATCAGCAATGGCCATGAGAACGTTGATGGACTTGCGCAACTTACCAATGGCAATCGTCCTCTCAAGCTGCGAGTGGGCAGACAAAGAGCCGGGCTCATCTGAAGGGCCGCGACCTGGACTCCGAGCTCGGCCTCTGGATGCAGCAGCGAATGCTACGATCTTGACATTTGGGTGGTTGTATAGTGTCTCGACTAGGCCACCGGCCGATGTGGACGGTGCCGGGCGTGACATGTGTGCTGGTATCGGGGCAGTTGCGACGCGGCGAGGAGCCGGATAGGCAGGGCGTAGAGATTCCATCGCGGTATCCCTAGGGAGAGGGAGAGTGTGGCAGCTCGGCCAGAGGAGAGCAGTGTCGTCAAGTACGTGCGGGAACTATCAGCTGACGGGCGAGTGCTACGAGTCGGACCTGGGTCATGTCGGAACTGACACCGAGTACATGACAGGCCTTGAGAGGAGGAAGTTGTCGTCGGTGGTGACGTTCGTTGGGCGTTATCGATTTGCGTCGCGTAGGTTTAGCGCGCCGGCCTTGGTCGAAAGAATAGGGTGGTGCAAATCGGAAGCGAAAGACTGATATGCTGGCCGTAGCAAGGGGGTAAATTTTGAGGGACCCGAGAAACGGACAAACAAACGGGCTTGATGCAGCGGCGCGGAAGGACGTGGACCCCCTTTTGAGCCGAGCGAGAATCGGCAACCTAGGTAGAAAATAAAATGTCTTGCTCCGGTCTCAGTACCCTTCAGATGAAGAAGAAACACTTGTGCCACCACACGATGGGTAACGAATGGAAGGGAAGAAGAAGGTGGGTGTGTAGAGTGTCCCTGGAAAAGCGAATGAGGAGAGGAGGAGGGACCGGAAGGCGGAGAGCGGAGGGAAGTAAGAGGAAGGGAAGAAAAAAGGTTTTTGATAATTGAGATTGAGGCAGGGCGACAGGGAAGGGGGGGGGGGGGGGGGCGCGGCGGACGTGGGTGATGGATGAATGGATGGATGGACAAAAGATGATGAAGCTTGGACGGATCTGGGATTTGCTCATGGTTCGACCAGGGGTTAACGACGTCACGGCTTCTTGGGGACTCGTTCGAGGCTTTGGAGGAAACACGCGCCCGACGGGGGGGTTCTGACGCTGCCGGTTTCCTGAACCATCGCGTCGCCGTTTGATAGCGATGGGCCCCCCGCGCCCCGCACCCACCTGGGCACCGTCCTTAACTACTCGACCCTGTGGCCGTACGATGAGACTTTCTCTCTCACTCCCTTTCTCCTGGATCATTCCTTGCCTGACGTACCTCATCATCTCACTTTACCTCGTTCGAGTTGATTGCTAATGCTCAAACACACTGGCAGACTCATACCCTGTACACAGGAGAGAGATGCTGAACATGCATTGCCACCTGGTAATTATAGGAGAGACCCTCAATTCCAGTATTGCGGGAGTTTGAGACAAAACGAACCCTCTCACTCACTCAAGCATATCCTGATTGGCTTTCACATGCCTCTCTCTCTTTCTCTCACTCACTCGCCCCCTCACTCACTGTCTCTCATACCTGATCTGAGTCTGCTATGCTAGATTCTCATCACCCATCTTGTTGTGATCCAATTTGCTTTGATCTCTCACTTGCCCCGTCTTCTTATGCACGGAGACCACCTAGATAGATCTGGAGAACAAGCTAGGATGACTAGGCTCACTGAAGCGCGCGCCCTCGTGATGTGCCCGGCCCCATCTGGAGCCAGCCTGGAGATTGCACGTCGTAGTCGCTTCGCGAACAAGGTGCCGCGTCCACAATCCATTAGGGGGGTCACACCGGGGACAGCCGACGTATCCCAGCCAAAATATACCCTTAACTTTTTTCATGACTATCCGTACTACGTATAAGTATGGGGATCGATATGGGGGAGCCCAGGCGTTGTAATGTTCGCTTAGAAGAAAACGGCAAAGATGAGACGGGGCAACCTCAACATAAATCCAGTGGAAACCTGGCATTTTCAGCAGTGTTCATATTTGGTTACGGATACCTTTTCAGCTCCGCACTTGCAATCCTCGCCTTTGAAAAATTGAGGCTTAGAGAGCTCGTGTTACCTTGTCATTTCAGCCCTCACCGCATTCTCAACCAGAAACTAGCTTCCGAGGTTTCCAAAAAAGCTTCAAGAGCCTCGGGTCCCCCATGACAACAGCCGTCTTATTCAATTGCAGATATAACGCCTGGGGTTTATACCTACCCTGAAGAGCCTCAGCATGCCTGGGGGTTAACAATTCAGGGACCTGCCATTGGTCCATTGAAAGCTCTGAGCTTCAAAGCTTCGAGCTGTCGAGCTTTGAGCAATGCATGCAGGGGTTCCAGCTCTTTGCACAGGGACGCGTTCTGGGATGCAAGTTCGACGCGTGCGCAATGCAGCCGCAGCCGCGGCAACTCGACATGAACCGGGTACCACATCTCCCAATCTCTAATCCACTTGCACCCGATCATCGGAGCTGACTGGTTCTGCGATGGTGCATCGCCATGCAGCTCGCCCTCATACAAGCGAATGATTCTGCTTCTGAGGCGCTTCAATTGTGTGGTTTGGTAGGTTCACGTGGTTCAGTACCAAAAGTACCTACCGGGCTAGGTACCCACGTACCTTACCTCAAGGCACTTGAAGCTCCTACCTACCTAGACTCACTTAGTTGGTCTTATCTCTGATATCGATAAGATAAGGAATACGGGGGCTTCCCGGCACTCGGTGAAGCTCGGACCATCCGACCTTCCGGACGTACCGGTTGCAGGGCAGCGTTGTGAGGTGCTAGGTCTCTCAGCCACTAAACCCCCGGTATGTGTGTCGTCATCGTCTGCCCGCCACACTCAGCTCCAGCTCCCAGCAAGTTTAGCTCCCGGCCAAGCAACCAGCCCTGCGCTGACAAGGTCGCAACAGCTCGCGTGCCCCTCCAAGACTCTCGATATTTTGAACCTCAACACCCAGCAACGTTCGTGGTGATCGGCATCGTCACTTCCACACCCTCGAGAAAACATGGCGACCTCTGAAAAGGGTCAAAGGCGCGACAAGCTTGAAGGCCAGATTGACAAGCAGCTCGACAAGCTTCCCATTGACAAGGAGAGGCTCAAGCGGGAGTTCGACCTCTCCCACTTCGACCTGAACCAAATCCTGCGGGGCATCCAGTTGACGCTGGTTGGAGGTCAGTTGATGGAACCATGCACATGGCGTCCAGACTCCATTCCTTTGGAGTTTATTGACACAGCTCAAAATGCTAACTGCCAACAAGCTCAACGAGCCCTTCAAAACCCTGCCTTGTTCACATCGGACCACTACCGACAAGCCGGCATTGCTGTCTTGAGTGGCCTTGCCATCCGTCTCGTCATCTCCATTCCCGTATGTATACCTTAAACCCCTGCGCCAGGAGCACGAAAAACCACCGAGATACTCCTGTCTTCCTCACAGCAGGTATTGACATAGCGCAATAGATCATTGGCGTCAGAGTCTTTCTCTGGATTCTGTCCTTCTTTTTGAGCCTGGACCATGTCACTTGGGACGACCAGCTTGTTGGGGGCCTCAACTTCATCGAGGAATATGTTTTGCAGGTCCCCTTTTTCCTCATGGCGCTGATGCGCTACGTCACCCCGACGCTCGACAACATGTAAGTCCGCATCTTGCCCCCAGTCCTTGGGTCTTATGCTAACGCGGAGGCAGGTTTATGGACTCGCTGAACTGGGTTGATAAGACGTATGTCCAAAAACACAAGCACGAAGACCCGACCAAGCTTCGAGATATGTACTATCCCAACCTCAAGATGTACAAGGTCAGCGACGGCAGCACCCACACGACTAGCACGGCCGAAGCCATCAGCATGTTCCTGTACCGCTTCGCTCGGAAGGGTGCCATCTCCCTCGCCGTATTCGCCTTGTCGTACCTACCCATCGTCGGTAGATTCGTGCTGCCCGCGGCCAGTTTCTACACGTTCAACAATGCCGTTGGATTGGGTCCTGCGTCTGTCATCTTTGGAACAGGCATCTTCTTGCCCAAGCGGTACATTGTCATCTTCCTGCAGAGTTACTTTGCGTCGAGGAGTTTGATGAGAGAGCTGCTGGAGCCGTATTTCTCTCGTGTGCACTTTACCAAGGAGCAGAAGAGGAACTGGTTCCGGAACCGCGAGGGACTGCTGTTCGGCTTCGCCATCGGGTTCTATACATTGATTAAGATCCCCCTTGTTGGTGTTTTGATCTATGGTATCGCAGAGGCCTCAACGGCGTACCTGATTACCAAGATTACCGATCCTCCCCCGCCTCCCGCCGAGAAGGCTGCTTTCGCCGCGAGCCAGCAGGAGTGGACGAACAAGCACGAATTCCTCAACCTCTCCCTCGGTGATATTGATGCCATTCACCTCAAGTCGCGGCCGGCCAACCCGACAGGTGATGCTCAAAAGCACGAGTAGACAAATGGCAAGGGAACGGCGAGGGTGTCTGTTCGTCTATCACTTTTCGGGGGTCGCTATCCGTAGGCTTAACTAAATCGCGTGAATCCAGACATGCCGGGATAGGGTGACATTCTGCGGACATTTGCAATGCTCTTTTCTGCAACAGGACGGGTGAAGGGGACCGACAAGGCGTAAACGACAGATGCCGAGATAGCCAACCCCCGGATTCCAATCAATTACGTTTTATGATAGGAGCAGGCATGCGACATGAGATCACTACGCCGTCTTATCGATTGGTTTTTGGAGACTGGCCGACGGGCGGAGCCAATGCGGGGGTTGCCAGAAACAAGCCTCTTACGGTATCGGGCAAAAGCTCTTATCAGCCCGCACCCAGCTCCGCACTTGCAACTCTCAGCAGCCACCACCACTCCCGTCTCATAGAGGACAGTTGGGGATAATCCCATACTCGGGATAGATAGCCAGACGAGGCAGGAGAGAAAGGCGTCTCATTCGCTGGGTGAGATAGTTCCGAGGAGCTCAGGGCGGGGTAGTTTGGAGACGTTGGCTTGGTTGCATGTATATCTACCACACTAGGAAGCAGAGCGACCTGTTCTGGCACTCAATCTCATAACGACAAGTGAACATTTCATCTCACTCTGTTGTCTTAGAATCACTTGCCTGATACAATCAACTTTGAATTTATCCATTCCACCATGGGCAAGACTGGTATTCGTACGGCCAACAAGGTCAGCTTCGATAAGTCAGCTTCTGAGCAGCCTGGCCTGCATGTAAGTGCCCAAGTGCTGTCGATGTACGCCTCGAGCATCAAGTTCGTTGACATCAACACCAGAACAGATGGCATCCAGATAGTGAGTGCTTTAACTGGAAGGAGATCATGTCACAATACCCTCTAACCAGGCCCCTCCCAAAGTCCCCTTCTCCGGCACTATCAAGAATGGCGAGACAGTCAAGATTGAATGCGTAGACTGGTAAATCGCCCTTGTTTCTTTCACCTGCGTCTGCTAGTGTTCAACAAACTCACGCAAGAATGCCAGGACCGGTGGCCAGATTGGCAACAACGACTCGGCGGACGACATGCTCAACGTCGACCTGACCAAGATCCACTACCTCAGCGGTCCGTTCGAGGTCGAGGACGCTCAGCCGGGGGACCTGCTCCTGGTGGAGATTATGGACGTTCAGCCGTTCGAGGACCAGCCTTGGGGCTTTACGGGTGTATTTGATAAGAATAACGGCGGTGGGTTTTTGGATGAATTGTATCCTACGGCGTAAGTTGTTTCATTGTCACATCACGTCACTCACTCTCACTCTCACCGACAATACTTATGTACCATACACAATGAACGCAATCCTCACCGTTCTCATCCTCTCTCACCGCAAAACAACCCTAACACTGTGTACGCAAATAGGGCAAAGGCAATCTGGGACTTTGAAGGAATCTACTGTACCTCGAGACACATCCCGGGAGTAAAATTCGCCGGGCTCATCCACCCGGGCATCTTGGGGTGCGCCCCGTCCGCCGAAGTCCTCGACACCTGGAACGCGCGCGAGGGCGAGCTCATCGCGGCCAACAAGCTCGACCGCGACGTCGCGAAGCCGCCGGAGCCGATCAACGTGCACGCCGGCGCGGCGAACGCGGAGCTCAAGGAGAAGGTTGGTAAGGAGGGGGCCAGGACGATTCCTGGGCGGCCTGAGCATGGCGGGAACTGCGAGTGAGTTTTTGAGCATCCTCTTTACTTCTTTCTACCCTTGAGAGATTTCGACGAGGAAATCTGGAGGGTGATAGACTCGGGGATGATGGGAAATGAGAGTCACTGACGTTGAGGGGAATAGTATCAAGAACCTGAGCAGAGGAAGCAAAGTCTACCTACCCGTCCACGTCCCCGGCGCCAAATTCAGCGTCGGCGACCTACACTTCTCTCGTAAGTTTCCAACTAAACCAACTGTGCTTCCCCCCCCCCCCCCCCCCTCTCTCTCTCTCTCTCATATGACCATGTATCCATATCATCAGGTAGCTCACTAACCATATCCCAGAGGGCGACGGAGAAATCTCCTTTTGCGGCGCCATCGAGATGGCGGGCGTCATCACGATAAACTTCAAAGTCATCAAGAACGGCGTCGCCGACCTGGACCTCAAGTCGCCCATTTACATCCCCGGCCCCGTCGAGCCGCAGTTCGGTCCCGGGCGGCACATTTACTTTGAAGGGTTCTCGGTTGATCAGCACGGGAAGCAGCATTACATGGATGTTACCGTCGCCTATCGTCAGACGTGTCTTCGTACGTTTCCTCCTCCCTCTCTCTTCTGTTCTTTTCCTTCTCCTGCATGTTCTCTTCGTTGCTTCCTTGAATGTTACGAATGGAAGATTGATGATTATGATGTTTGCTAACGCAAACAACATAAAGGCGTCATCGAATACCTCCGCCGCTTCGGCTACAGCGACTACCAGGTCTACCTCCTCATGTCGTGCGCGCCCATCCAGGGTCACGTCGCGGGCATTGTCGACATACCCAACGCGTGCACGACCATTGGCCTGCCGATGGACATTTTCGACTTTGACATCTCGCCGGGCGCGGGTAAAGTCGAGAAGCGGGACCTGGGCAGCTGCGCTTTCGCGACGGGTGTGAAGGAGGGAACTGTTACCAAGGGCGGGGCGAATAGTCAGCATAGCTATGGTGGTGGGTTGACGTATAAGGAGTGAGGAATGAGACTGGGTTTGTGGAAGGTTTGCTGAGTGTGAGATGAGAGGTCTCCTTTGAGATGGAAGTTTCGTGCGGAGTTTCCCCCTTTCCCTTCACTTTTGTCTTGCCCCGTGTCATCGCGAGCGATTGGATCAGAGTTGCGAGGTCAAGTTTGATTGAAGTCGAATGAGGTTGGGCAAGCGTAGTCACGAGATATTGTAGTCGTCGAATCTTTATGCGAATTTCACTTATGAAATGCCAAACTCATCATAAAGCCGTGAGATTTCACTTCCCAATGAGAATCTCTCGACTTGAAAACAAGCCAAACTCCCCGAGTCATCGATTCCCGTTCCTCATATGATCCATACCCAACAACTCCGCCCCGCCATGCATTCATCAATAGGCTCTCTTATCTCTATTCGTCAAAAGTCCGGAATCTCAGTCATCGCAGTGTGTCCCGTCGCGCCCGTATGAATCCTAGCCTCGGCCGTACCGCTGCCCAACCACTCACATCCAGGAGCATCGCACTTGCGCAGCGCATTATCGCCAAAGGCACCGCCAGCACCAGCAGAAGCACCAGCACCGGCGCCGGCACCACCCGAAGCACCACCACCACCACCGCCCGCAGGTTCGTCCTTGATCTCGCTGAAGCCCATATGCCCCGTCGCCTTGGCGTGCTTGTTGGCCTCCCTCTGCCCGTTGCCCAACCAGTCGCACCCGGCCACGGTACACCGCAGCAAGAACTCGGTGGTATCCGTAAAGTAGTGCATCTCGTGCAACTTACGAATCAGCGCGCGCGTGCGGTCGAGGACCTCGTCGTCGGCGGTGCTCCAGTTCGTCCTATCGAGTTCCGGAGGCAGGTCCGAGTGCGCGTAATGGGGCGGCTCCGAGGGGCTGCAGGCGATGCGGTCGTAGTGGATGCCCGAGTAGACGAGGATGCAGCGCGATTCCTTGTTCTCGCCGAAGCGCAGTGGGTTTTGGGATTTGACGTCGAACGCGACGACCTCGAGGTCGAAGAGGTCCGAGAAGATGCCGAGCTCGATGGCGCCGCCCCAGCGCTCGGGGTCTTGGATTGTGCGGATGTACTTCTCGACAGGCATGTCGAGGACGGCTTCGGGGTAGTCGTCTGGGTGTTGGCGGATGTAGTCTGCTACCATTTTGCGGAGCTCTTTGGCTTCCATTTGTTTGCCTGGGATGGCGCCGCCAAAGGCGGTGAAGAGGCAGCTGTTGTCGTCGGGCATCACGCGAAGGACTTGGGATTTGTTGTCAGATGGGAAGGAGTTTGGGGATTGGGGGTGAAAAGGGCAGCTTGGTACTCACGTAGAGTCGACTCACGCTCCGGCCACGGGATGCTGATGTCCGAAGGGGACGGGTCGGCATCGGGATCGAGGCGGGGCTTCTTGGACGTCTCCAGGCCTCGAGATGCAGGGGCGGCGGCGGCGGGCGGAGGTGTGATTGCGCGATGATGGGCCGGCTCGATGCTGAAGGACTGGCCGTTGAGGCCCAGGTCTTTGGCGTTGGCGTCCTTGTGCTCGAGGGTCAGGGTCTGAAGGGGCCAGCCGTACTTGAGGGTGAACTCGGCGATGCCCGTCTTGTCCTTGATCTCGTTGAAGAGGTCTCCGACTGTTGCGGTGTCCTCGAGTGAGACGACGCCTGTGCCTCCCGGGCCCTTGTACCTGGCTCTCATTGTGAGTATCTATGCGGACTTGCTTTGCTTTGCTGAAGGGATCTGTGGGATGGTGAGTATGCGGGCCAAAGTCAAGATAGCAAGCTGAGATAGGTGTTTGATGGTGCAATGACGCACAGGCTTCAGAATGAGATGGAGTAGCGACTGACGGTAGACGATCTTGACCGGGGACGGATCCGGACGGACAACCGATGGTAACCAAGCTCTTGATGGCGGGGTTCGAACGGAGGGGTTTATCTTATCGCAGAGTACCAACGGCGGGTTCTCACTCTGGAGACCCGAGTGCCAAGGAATCTGGACGTGAGACGTAGATAATAAGGATGCGCGTTGAGTTGGGTCGCTTGGACTCAAGTTTCGATCCTGATTAGCTTCGTAGAGTCTTCTGGCGTGAGAGACACTAGGGCGAGATTCCTCGGTGAAGGAGGCGGGAAGGATGCTTCTGCAGCTATGCCGGATCCAAAACGATGGAGTTGACTTGCAGAGGTGGCACCGCAAGGTTAAGGTAAGGTAGGGGTAGAACAGCTGCTGTCGAGGGTTCGGATGCACTAGAAGCTTCTCCGCTTATGAAGTAGCTCTAGAAAGCTGCTTTGAACAGGTCGTGTGATGTTTGGACCGTGGGAAGACGTGGAAAACCGAGTCTGAGCGTTTTGATAGCTGGAGCGTAGCTATTTCAACCTAGGCACCCAAGATGGGCTAGGTCAGACCGAGCCTCTGGGCCACTCTAGTAGGGCAGCGGCTTTGTCCGACTCGAGAACTTAGAGGATGACGGCGTCCACGGTTCCGGGTGCTGGGATTGGAGGTTTGTGCTTGTCTTTGATTGTTTCCGAGTGGAGAACTACTCCAATAAACGCTGCTGCAGCGACAATGACTTCATGGTTCCACGTTGCAATCGCCCACTTTGTCTTTCCTCCACCGAGTGCTTATAGAGTTGGTAGCTAAGCAGCGTTGTCAACATGTTGCGAACTATGAGGAGCGTTGATGAAGAGCTGGAAATAGCTGTCTCCAAAACCATGGGACAAGCATTAGGTGTCCCGCAGAGAACGGAGATATAGGATATCATGGTGCCAGGTCAGAGACAGAGAGGTCCTATCAGGGAACGAACTCATAACACTGTTTCTTAGGCTTTGAGGAGTAAGAGCTCGAGGAAAAGCCTTGGTCAACTTACCAATGACTCTTTCCTTTAGTTCTCTCTCTACCCACTCTGAGAAAAGAAGAAGCTATTCAAAGAGACGAGAGGAAGGTACAAAAGATGGCACCATCAAGTTCCTTCTCACCCGTTGAGAAGCTTAAGGTACATCTTGAGGTACAGAGGAAGCCATTGATCTAAGTCTCATCCAATTGCCCGCCGCCAATGTTCCAGTTAGCCGAGGTGGAGCCGGAAGATGCCACGGCCTGCCCCGGGCTGGTTCCTTGCTAACATCCCCTCGCAGCACCACTTGTACCCGTAAGACCCCGGCCAGCTCCCGCCTCACTGCTTTCGCAAACCTTCAATTCCTCAGCTCCCCCCAAAGAAACGTAGTAACTTGTAGAATCCCACCTTTGCGACGGAAGCCCTCGACCCCCTCTCCTACTCGACCTTGCCAATCAAGAGGGTCCAGAGTCTCGCTTGAATCCTTGTGTCTTCAATTGTTACCAGAGAGAAAAGGATTCCTTAAGCTGCCCTCGTTCTGCGATTCCCCAAAGAGGTTGGACGAAACTATGGCGACGCGCAGCGACGCGCCCGAAGTGCGCGAGTCCATCGAGGCCAAGGTCACCAAAGATGTCGAAATGACCGACGCACCCGACGCCAGCACCGCCGAAGCCAAACAACCCGAACCGACTGTCTCTGCGAAGCCGGCTGAATCCGACAAAATGGATATTGACGCTGGTGCGAATGCCGACGCCGACGCCGATGCCGACGCCGACGCGGACGGTGAAGCGGATGCAGATGGCGACATTGACGTAGATGCAGACGCAGACGCAGACGCAGACGCGGATGGTGAAGTTGACGCAGACGCTGATGCAGATGGAGATCCAGATGATGGCGTCGCATCCCCCGTGGAGTCCGAGCCTGGCGACCTTTTGGATGTCATCCAAACCATCAGCTCAACCGTGAGCAACTACAAGGATGAAGAGTACGTTCGGATCAGGCGCACCCTTTGCCTGTCTTGCTGCTAATTAGTTGTCATCGCAGCGGTGAATGGTGGGCGGCTAGTTTCCAGCGCATCCCGAACAAACGTCAACTGCCAGATTACTTCGAGATTATCGAGAACCCCATCGCCTTCAGCACCATTCGCGTATGTCCCGCCCATTCGTAGAGCCTTGTTGGCACGACACAGAACTGACCCCGAGTAGCACAAGATCCAAAAGAAGCTGTACACAGATTTCCCCGAGTTTGTTCGCGATCTTGCACAGATTTGTCACAATGCGCAGGTGTATAATCGGCCTTCCTCGGCCATCTTTAAGAGTGCCACCGTCATCCGAGATCTTTTCAAGAAGGAGTTGCAGAAACTCGTTGCCAAAGGCACGATCAAGTCTGAAGAGGCAGAGCTTCCCGATTTGGGCGAGCTCCCGCCCGCAGAAGACTCGTCGCCAGAGGCCGAATCCGAAGAGGACGAAGGAGAAGAGGAGGAGGAGGAAGAGGAAGAGGAGGAAGACGACGAGTCCGACGATGACGGAAAACGCCGACGAAGCAGGAGGCGTGGCCGAACTTCGCTCACCAAGCGCCAGCTTGAGGAGGCCCGGGAGGAAGACGAACATAAGAAGCGCGGCCGCCCTCCCAAAGTCTTGACACCGCTCGAGGCGCGTATTCACAACGTCATCAAGGGCCTGCGCAAGTTCCAGTCAGACGACGGTGACTTGCTCATTGGTCCCTTTGAGAAGTTGCCCGATAAGCTTGCGAACCCGGACTATTACCAAGTCATCACCAACCCTATTGCGCTCGACAACATCAAGAGAAATGCTAAGAGGAAGAAATACTCGACTGTCGATGATGCGCTCAAGGATATCGATCTCATGTTCAACAATGCAAAGGAGTACAACGAGGAAGCCAGTGACATTTACGAAGCCGCTGTCGAGCTGCAGAGGCAAGCACATGAGCTGGTCGCGCAGGAAAAGTCGAGGCCAGACGATGAATTCCGTGACGAGGATGGCAAACTGCCACTGTCGGAAATTCAGCACAACGGCCAAGCATGGCGAGTCGGTAAGTTTTGTTCCCGGTCCCTAGGCTATTCGAGAAGGATGAGTCGGGGTGCTAATATTGTGTAGGCGACTGGGTGCATATTCGTAATGTCAACGACATGGCCAAACCCATTGTCGCGCAAATATTCCGAACTTGGCAAGACCGAGCTGGAC